TTTATAATAAACTAAAATTATGATTATTTGCAAATAAAAAAAAGTGAAAATATATATATATATATAAATAAAAGATACCAATAGATACTTGATAGAAGGAAAAAAACTACCTAATATATAGAGATATACCATGCTTGATATATAGGAATATACTATGACCGATTTATAAAAGATATGTACTTGATAAAAAAAATAAATAAAATCTGGTGTTCGACATATGAATGATGAATTTGAATAAAATATCAAAATATTAATATCCAATATAAAACTGATATAGGTCCGATAAGTGTCCGAACTTCTACATTTCAACTCCATCAATTGGGTACCTGATATATTACATAATTGTTAATATTAGACACCTATCATATACTTATCGAGTTTCTGATAGGTATACGATAGGTGTCTGATATTTCTTATTTCGACCAGTGTACTACACTTATCGAGTACCTGACAGATATAATAAATAAAAGTATTGGATGATTCAATAGGTGTAATAAAAAAATATCAAACACTTATCAGAAGATGGAATATATTACTAATAGGTTCCCAATATTGAATAAAAAAATTGGGTACCCAATTGATATAAAAAAAATAGTCAAAAAATAGATGTCTAATATGTATAGTATATGTGACTGATAAGTCACCAATAAGTATCTAATATTAGAAAATAAGATGACACTTATTGAGTATCTAATATATGTCAAAAAATATATATCAGATACCTATCAAACACTATAATAGGTACTCAATAGGTACTCAATATATCAAATTTTGATCAATGTTAATATTAACTTTTGAAGATTTTCATTAAAAAAAATTTCTTGATGAACTTTTCTCTCTTTACAAAATTAAAAAAAATTAAGTAAAATGAAAATAAAAAATATATACATAATATATAGAAACTAACCTATTTTATTCTAGAATCTGATTTTTTAAAAGAAAATAATACAAATTTTCTAAAACAAAAGAAAGTAAGAAGCTACTTATCATACTGTGAACTTTTTATAATTCAATTTGAAGAAAAAAAAAAAAAAAGAAAAAAAAAAAAAAAAAGAAGAAAAGGTAGGTAAAGATAAAAACTAAAAAAATCAAAATTATATTAATAACTGATCTACTTATATATTTTCTAATTTTAATCTACTTGTATAATTTATGAATTAAAATAATTCAATATTACATTGTTACAAATCAAAGAAAATTAAATAAAATTAAATAGTGTATATTGAATATAAAGAAACTAATTCAGTATCATTTTAGAATTTGATTTATAGAAAAAAAACAATATGAACCTTCTGAAAACAAAAAAAAAAAGTAAAAATTTAATTTGAAGAAAAGAAGAAAACATAATAAAAAAAAAAACTAAGATAATATTATCAATTAATAATTAATTTACTTATTTACTTTTACATGTATAGTTTATACTTGTATATAAAATTATTTTGAAATCCTGAAATTATAATTTTGAAAAAAATTAAAATAGTTTTTTATAAAAGATAAAATTATTTTATTTAAAACCTAAAATTTTTTGACTACTCAGATAAATTTTTTAATTAAAGATATACTTAACTAGATATTTTTTTTTACTTTTATATACAGTTGTAATCATATATTCGGAACTAGTAAATTTGATAATTATAGAAAGATTGTGATTATATAGTGATTTTTTACATAGATTTACTATGAATTGATTCTTACAAAAAGTGTGATTATATATAGATTGTAATTATAAAAAGTGTGATTATAGAGACATCTAACTGTATAAAATAGATTCTGAGTAAATCTCAAAAAAATGAAATACTCTAAAAATCAAAAATTAATTTTAGAAATATGTATAATATAGTCTACAAAATAAAAAACAGATGAAAGAATAAACAAACAAATAGATGAAAGAACAAATGAATGAATCAAATTGTGATAGAATCAAGACCATATACAAATGCTTAATATGAAAAGAATAAAAGTCACTTAAACTTGTAAAATTATTAAATTCAAATTTAATAAAGAAAAAACTTCATTAACAAATAGTTAAATAGATAAATTAAACAAAAAAAATTTATTTTTTATTTATTTCTTTTGATCTAATTATTAATTACATGAATTAATAAAATTACATTTCTCAAAAAATTTATAAGGAATAAGCAATATTTCAGTTCATCCTATATGAGAAATAACATTATCCAAATTATTTTTATTAATTTTATATATAAAACTTCAATTTTTAAGAGTTAATTTCTTGGTAACCACTGATTCAATTGTTATAAAATTTGATATGTATATTCTTATTAGCCTTATAATCATCTTAACTATAACTATTCTGTATAAAATTTTATTTATAATTGAAATTTTATTAAGTGACAATTCTCAATATTGATTACTTATTTAGAATTTGATACTCAAAAAATATATATAATAACTATTGCTCTAAAATTTATTGTTTAGGAGCTAGAATTTTTTAAAGACAAAAAAATCAGATGTTGTAATACTTTTGTGAGCCACTATAGGTAACAGATAAATGCCTAATACAAGTTTTACATCTGCTTACAACCTATGTACCAGAGAGAATAAAGATTAACAATTTCAAATTATCAATTAAATTCTTTTCATATTATCTTTATTTTGAATTTGTTATTTTTCTTGAAATAAAATAATTATATATATATAGTACAAAAACCTTAAAGATATCAAGTATTATAGAATTGCTAAAATTTAGTGATCTATAATTTATATAAGTATTTGCCAGAAGTACAAAAAATTTTACATAAATAAATTAAATTCAAAAATTTTATACAAATAAAAAAAAAATTACAATGAATAAAAAATAAACAAAAAGAGAACTCAAAAATTTACAAAATGGGTTAACTTGTATTTTAACAATGTTTTTATTTTTATACAGTAATTTTTAATTTAAAACTTGTGATTTCATTTAAATATAACTAATTATTGCACTTTATTTTGAATACAAATTACATATCATGTAAAATCTAAATTATTTACTGCTGAAAATTTTATTATTAATATTACAAATATTTTTATTTCCATATTAGCTACTTAATAATTTATTATTAACTATAGTAAAAAAAATACATTAAATTGTAGAACTAATCCAGAGCTATCAAATAATGTATTTATTTTTTTAATTCTATATTTGGATACAAAGTTTTAGTAGTTTAAAATACTTGATGTCTTTAGACTTTCTGCACCATAGCACAAATACAAAAATTATAATTAATGTCAGTAGGAATAAAAGAATAAAATAATGTAATTAATTATCTATGATCTTTTTTTTCTCCATTTGTTTTACTCGCTAATGCATGTCCAGTAGTCTTAATATGTGAGAACAGTAGGTTTCTACTTGAAAAGACTTGTGAACATACATTACATTTTTGCTGTAAGAATAAATATGAAATTAATTACTTGGTATTTTTCATAAATCAAAAAAAAAATAAAAATAAAAGTATACCTTATCTGAATCTTCATTTTTCTTCTTCTTTTTGGATTTTTTCTTATCTTTTTTATCAACATTTTCTTGTTGATTTGATTTTTCTTCCTTCAAGAAATAAGGAGTTGCACCTGATTCTTCATCAGACTCAAATCCGCCACGATATGAAATTTTTGTTCTTTCTAAAGTCTCCGATATTATAGTTTCATCAGATACTGATTTATTGTCTGTAGATAATTTTGTATAGTCATCTTCTTCATAATTTAAATCAAGATTCCAATTTTGGTTCTGCCGTTTTTTCTTTAATTTTTTATTGTTCTTTGTACTTTTTATTAGATCAATTTCATTAACTTCATTATCTTCTCCATTATCTTCTTCATTAATAGAATCTGTAGTTTGTGTTTCATGATTTCCAATAACCTCTATAACTTCTTCATCTTGATTGGAAGCATTTGTTTTAGTTGTATTTATAAATTCTTCGGCATCTTCATACATTTTTTCTTTCAAAATTGCAACATTTTTTAAATGTTTTTTACTTTTTTCATGATTGTTCCATTGTTTTTCATGTTTAAAAGTTTTATTACATGCCACACAAAAATATTCATTATTAAGAATATCGCTTCCTTCACTTTCATCATCATCATCACCGTAATCTTCAATTTTAACTTTTGCCCATTCGGGTTCTTGATATTCCTGAAGTTTAGCTAAATATTCTGCACGATCTCGAGCTGCACGTAATTTAACATCAGCAACCTGAGCTTCTTTTTTTCGTTCTATAAAAATTTGATATGCTTTATATCGAGGATCCCGTTTTTTCACAAATTCAACTAAAGACTAATAGAAAAAATAAAAAAAAATAATAATAAAGAAAGAAAAAATAAAGATTATAACAAGTAAATAAGTAAATAATAAATTAATTAATAATAATAATTAATATCTATATATCTAATACTTACTTTAACAGTATCATTATATTCCTTACGAGCCATATCCCGAGATTTCTTATTCTCTTTCTCCATGACTTTTTTAAAAAGACGATCAGGTGCCTACTTGAAAAATTAGAAAAATTAGAATTTACTTTTTGAATAACAAAAAAAAATAGATTAATATTTTAAAACCCCAAATAATTGAAATAATTGAAATTCAAATAAAAAAAAAATAAAATAAAAATTACCTCAGATAAACGATATTTATCAAACCATTTAAAACTTTTATGTGTAGTAAAATTCGTCCACATTTTATAGAAATTTGATATAGAATTTCCGGGAATTTGATAATCTTGATCTGGAGAAGTATTACTATCACCAAATGATGGATATGGATAAAATTCTTTAGAACTTTCATCTCTATCATTTATAAATGCTGCTTCTTCTTCTTCAGCTAATTTCATAAAAATTGTTCTATAAACAGTATAAAATCCCTTTTTAAAAAAATATAAAAAAATTGAATATAAATAAATCTATTATTATTATTATTATTCTACTATGATTATTTTAAATAATTTAAATACATTTGTATTATCATTAAATCCATTGTAACATCCTGCACTAAAATATTTCATTAAATCTTCAACATCCATTCCTCGTACTGAACTTCTTGTATGTCTACCCCTAATTTCATGTCCATCGTAATCTTCATCGTAATCTTCTTCTATATCATCATCTAAAAAAATAAAACAAATAGAAATTTTATTAAAAATATTATAAGTGATTTTACTTGATCTTTAAAAATACCTTCTCTTAAAATAGCATCACGATGACCATCATACCTAAATATAGATAGGATATTATAAATATTAAATTTAAATAAAATTTTTGATCTAAAGAATTTAAGAAATGTTATTTTTCAAGTTTTATGTACCAATCTCTTTCATTCGGATCTGATAAAACTTCATACGCTTGCTGTATAAGAGTGAATTCTTTAGTTGCTATATCAACTCTATGATGATTTTTATCAGGATGCCATTCCAATGCTTTCTTTCGATATGCTTTTTTAAGTTCTTCGGGTGATGCAGAACGTTCGACACCCAATAATTCGTAATAACAAGTTCGCATTTCTTTTGAACTCAAATTTTCGAATGCACGAGCATTTAACTAAATTAATTCGCCAATCAGTGAAAATCATCTGATTTACAGATACTTTTTGCCCCTGAGATGTCGACTTTTGGCCCCACACTCATGTGATTTTTCTTTGGCCTTGATAATTTTATGTGGCCATAGTCAACATTTTTGTGTAATCTAATAATATTTATCGAAGTTAAAAAAATTTAAGTTACTTGACCTCGGAAATCTTAACCTATTCCAGGACGTATAGATTCTTATCCGTGTCAATTATTGTGTAACTACCTTAACGCATGGGTTAGGGTAGGTTATTTATCATATGTATCATACCCCTCGAATATCGATTTTTATTAGGGACTTGGATTTTTTTTACATGTGGAAACTACATTTGTCACCCGATATTTGTCACCTAAAATCTGTCACATGAATTAAACACGTGTAATCCTTACGATCACCTGTTAAATTATGGACCAATTAAATTCGGAAGGGATATAGGACAAGATAATAAGTAAAGGTGTTGGTCTGGTCTAAAGCTCCTCATAGGCCGAGCCGAGCCGAGCCTCATAAAGCTCAGGCCGAGCTGAGCCCAAAAGTCTTAGGCTCG